AACGAAATATTTTTGCAAAACTTCAGAGGACTACCATATAATACCGGTATATCTGACATTTTGTGTTAGTGTCAATAAAATTTGATTCATTTATCCAGAGGATTTTCAGTACATTAGTCCAATCCAATTTTATGGATTTATTAAAACTCTGTTAACTCTGCTGCAAAAGATATAGCGCTCATTCAGAAAATCACAATTTATCGATGTTGGAATCGTTCCACTTAATGCTGATTATCTAACCTACAACGAGTGATACACCAGGTGAGGTAGAAGTTCATTACCGTAGCGATGACGTTTTTAGTGGAGTATTATTGTTGTCACTTTCCTTATCATTATCGTTAAAAAATCGAGACTGAAGTTTGCCAACTCTTTTGCAACGTTCAACCTCTAATTCATTATCGGTTGTTTGAATGTCAGATGTATTCTCTGCCTTTTTAATTTTTCGCAGTCTCTTTCCATAGTCATCTGTAAGTAACAGAATCTACTTAAACAATCACACAGATAACATAAAGGTATGGTTAATGAGTTAATCCGTGAAAATCTGCTTATTGTAAAATGGCATTCACTCAAAACTTCAAACAATGCTGCGATTAAAAAGTGGAACAGATTGGGAAGCATGCCCTAAATTACACGCGTTTGTGAAAGCTTCAACCAAAGGATATGTACAAGCGAAAGAAATGTTCTGCATTTACAGAAAGCGACCTAAGAGGATCTTTTATTTCACCCAGATACTTGAAGTATCGTTACTTAGCAACTTTAAAGCACGTGTGTTTTAAAGGCCTTTTTTCGCACGCATTTGAGTGTTTAAAACGGAGATTGTAATTTAGGTATAATAAAAAATTATGTTCTGTAATCCTTGCTTGGGTAATATTCTATGAGAAAAGGAAAGTTGATTTTTTAATGCTAGGGTATACAAAATATTTCGCCTTGACTTTACGACTTGAGCATTACATTTAAATTAATGTATCAAGAAATGAAATTTGGGCGTCAATTCTCCAAAAAGTTGAATAAAAATAGAATTCTGTTCTCTCCACGCTCAATTACCCTCTAGTACTACATCTCCTCCAAGTAAACCAAAATTTTCTACCAAGTGCAGCATTTCAGAAGCAGACATAATTTTTTTTATGTCTTACTAACTTATCATAGCACATTTTATATCTGTGATACGCGGGCATAAAGTACCACTTTATGCCCTAGGGCATTAAGTATCACCATAGTAACTCATTAATACTTAATGACAAAACTAACAAATATTTGCAGGTCATTGAAAATTACAAACGTCAATTATTAATTGTCAATACCTTATACTAAATCACAAGATTGGCCTTATTTCGTATAGTTTCTGGAACTTCTTGCTCATTCACGATGAATTGAATTATTTAAAATTACGTTTGACGTTTGGATGGTTTCAATCACATTAACAAATTCGAACCACGCATACTCGATCAAACAATGAATTATTTTGTAAACGAATTTTGACGAAGAAAACTATTTGTAAAACATAAAATTGTGTATGTACCACGGGCATAAACTGATGTTTATACTCTCGGGCGACTAAAAAGCTCTCGGGCCATAGGCCCTCGAGCTTTTTAACTCGTCGTCCTCGAGAATATAAACATCACTATTATGCCCTTAATACATAAATAACTATTTTAAGTATTTGACTTTTAATATTTGAGGTGTTCTATTAGATCTATTTTTGTACTTAAAAAACTTAATTCTATTATTTAAAAGTTCCAAGGAGAAAAGTTTTTCAATATATACAAAATGATAAATTATACAACCAAAATCATAACGACATACTCCTTCCAAAAGGTCATGCATAACATCACATAAGTTGATGTCAGAAAACAGCACCAACCACAACAACAACATTTGTAAATCTGAGCCGAAACCGCAAGAGAATTGAGGATTTTGTTACAGGCAGAAATGTGCTTGTAACGAAATTTAGAAGCGAAGGCTCGGTAGCTCAGACAAGGTAGGCGAGTGGGCGTAGGCCATCGCATACAATTGAGGGAAAAAGATGATATTTATAAGGGCGCCACTATATTTACGGCCACGCAATGAATCTTACAGTATCAAATATAGAAATATACCAAAGACACAGGTAAAACACTACTGATTGTTAATAATAAAATCACACATCGACCCTCAAAATAATTTTTAATACTGCACACTGGTTCTACCAGTCACAAAATTAATCCAAAACTATAGTATAGTATTAACGTATGCTAATCTTCTCAAACAAATATATATTTCACAAGGAATAACCATAGCCAAAAGGGCTCGCAATAGCAAACTCAGCCTCTAATTAGATAGGCAACTCAAATCTCTTTGTCTAAAAGTTAATTTTACTTCAGCGTACCTACGCGAAGTCAATGAAACACAAATAAAAATACAAGTTATGGTACCACTACTCAAAGTCTATCCAAGTAAAATCCTATACACATAAAAGTAACATAGGTTAATATAAGCTTACCAACAATACCATTCCCATCCAGCGAGCTCGGTGGACGAGGCTTCCCGTTACATCCATGTCTGAAACACAATCATTACCTGGAACTACCCTAACGAAGTGGCACAAAAGGTCAACATAAATTTTTAAGTTAAGAGAATTGAAGCAAAACTTTGAAACGGAGATTTCGAGTACAATAAATGATTTGAATGATTTAACAGGAGCAAAAATTTACAATATTGACAAATTAAACAAGGTTTTCAAATTTCAAGGAATCTCACAAAATAGGAGTTACATTAATGACTATCAAATTACAGTTAATCAATTCACAGTTACGTAGATTTGTAAATAGATAATAAATCGTATTGCAAATGGCACCAGCCAAACAGCTGCATAAAATTAGTTGTTTTAGAAATCACGAATCCCTTCGAAGTAATCCACAAAGATTATTTTAAAATAGAACTTACCCCTTAACAACGAAGGGCAAAGCCACAAACTACTGGCCAAACTAATCCTCTTTAAATCCCGAAACGGTATACGTTCTTCAAAAATATACGTCGGTAGAAACTTCTCCTAACGATATTTCACGTATAAATCCCTCCAATCAATGTAAAACTGGTAGATGACCACTGAATAATTCAGAACAATTGATTTTACACGAGGTCGAGGACAGTAAACACCAACAACAGTTGTTACTTCTACGGCTTACAACGAAGTGAACGAATTTCCGGTCTAAAATGCATACCACCAATGAGATTACAGTAAACCAACCCAGTAAAATAAAATTCCCCAAAAATGACATCCTACACAAATTTAAATGTTACAATTTGCTCACGAAAATAAAGAGATTAAAATGGGGCCTGGAGGTATTCGAGGTGCAACGAAAATTGAGTAAAGTGCGCTTGCGCACAAGAAGTTGAAAGCCAACGTCTATCAAAATTACAATTTTTTTGTACTACACATATATATTGAGCTGGCGCTCGTATCAATCATTATTGTATATAACTACTTGGCAGCAGTAAAGAAATAAAACACGCACGAATATTTGTTGTATAATTATGAAATTTCCTAAGTACCTACCTACGCAATTGAAGTGCGAAGGGGAAAAGTAATGTAATGGGTTTATTCATAATGAAATAAACATTTTATCTCGGAAACCGCGAAAGAATTATTCTCAATCTTCATTTCGATTTAGCTTTTTTACATTGTCATAGTTTAATGGATCACATTTTTAAACCTTTTAATAGAACTAATTTTTGATAGCAGAATATAAATAATTTTAGGTAAATGAACCTTTTGCAAGCGAGCTTCTTTATATGCGATCACATTTTAAACTGATTAGAACCTACGAATTTTTTTTAATCCGTGGACCGCGAAATTTTTGAACTTGCGTGATACGCGGTCTTGCTTCAAGTGCGGTTATGCAATTATACATGCGGTCTCCTGCATTTTGGGCTGCATAACCTCATGTATAACAATATGCGTACCTTTTTTTTTACACCAATGTAACTACATAGGCACCATTTCTTTTAGTCCATGATTCCTGAACACACCACCATCAAGTAAAAAAGAGTTTATGTGTTGCCTATTTGTAATTTATTACTTAAATCCCTTAAATCTACATATACAAAAAACCTATGTCTACCTTTAACAATATTAACTATTACCTACTTACATAAAATAGTTATTTGTTTCATTAGTACAAAAAATGTCAGTTTTCGGGACGAGGAAGATAGTTGCTGGACGACGCGTTAGCGGAGTCCAGCAACCTTCCGAGTCCCGAAAACGCATTTTTTTGTACGAATAAAACATACAATTTTTTCTCCAACCCCCTTTACTTCAAATTATATTCGAATTTAGATTCAGTCACAGTTTCACTACTAGTATAAGAACTTCTGCTTTCTTGTCCTCATGTGTCATGCCACTCTAGTTTTTAGGTTAACTTATAACCTATTCGTTCTGACTCCTTACTTCTCACCTCTCGCGACTTTGTAGGGAGCAAATCTTGAGGTAGCATGTTCTGCCGTTTCTATAATCTCTGGCGGAGTGCAATCCATGTCGCTATCAGTTTCAGTCATTTTATTGTATACACAATTAATATTGTTATATTTTGTATTGAAATAAAAAACTTACCGTACAGTTTTTTAATTAAAATTAATTGCAATTAACTTTTTCAAATTTTGAATTCAAAATGACAGATAATAGTGCAAGGGGTCTGAAGTAGATGGCGTTACGCGCGACGGCGGGTTGTAGGTATACGTATTAAAATTACGTTCATCGAATATGTAAATTACGTTACACATGGTTTAAATAAAAATAGCGAGCGTAAATCATTTTCAATACATGTACATACGTATAGGTGACATCATTATTTGCATTTATATGCAAAAAGATTTGATTTGTATGTATAGAAATATCTTATAACCTGCAATGTAAAACGATGTCAATGTGACATATCTCCGTGATTGTAATTTTTTAATTGGCCAACTTTCAAGGTCAATTTCTTTTTGGTACTAGGACCAAAAGTATCTACTTTTTGTACAGTTGCCATGGTGAAAACGATTAATCCGCAAAACGTCAATTTTACGTACCGAACACTGTCACAAAATAGCGTCTTATTCAGGTGGTTGGAGAAAAAACTTATTTTCTAGATTTGAGGAACTTGAGAGTCCTCAATGTCACTAAGATCCTTCTCGACACGTTTTTCTTCTTTTTTGCAACGTCTAATACGTTGCAATTCGTGCGTCCCCTAGCAGCTTGGCCCGGTACACCGGTTCCATGTTTTTCAAGCTGCTGTAAGTGTTAGCTCCCGTGGCGTTTTTGGTTGCGTAATCGATGACCCCTCATGCTGCGACGTTATCAATTAAAAAAATAATCTGTTACGATGGAATTCGACAAGTACTGTGATATAAACTTACGGTCGTTTTTGGCCCGTTTGCAAGACAGGTCGTTCTGCCGGAGGAGGTGGGAGAGACAACACCGGTGCAGGTGTTGGTGGTGTAGGCGACCGTATTGGTTGGGATAGTATGGGTGATGGGGAATTATTCTGAAATCAGAGAATTTTATCATAAGCACGTAGAAAAGAAAAAAATTCATTTTTAATTACCGAGCTGGTTCGAACATAAAACTAGCAGCGGGGTCCCCTTCTAACTGGGCCAACAGCAGATCTAGCTCGAAACTATCACCCAAGTTGCCGGTTCTGTAAAAAGCAATTACATTTTAACATATCGAGAAAGAGGTAGAAAATAACTTTTTTTAGGAAAAAATCATACATATTGTATACTTACGCGATTGTAGAATTATCCGAGTGGATTGTTATCATTTCTTCGTCCAATAATGGACCTCCATTATTTATTACCGGCAGAGACTCTGGATTCATTTGAGTTGTTAACACAGTTGGCGGAGCGTGTTTCGTCTCCAATGGTGGTGGTGGTGGTCGTTTTGGCCGTCGCCGTCGGTGGTTTGATTAATAGGGATTGCAGTATCTGGACCTTTTTTATTTTCGGCGCGCGGTTCGACTTTTTTGGAATTTTCTACGTCGGGAATCGAACTCTATCAACTGCTACAGTTTCCCATGGTCCTTTCTTGCTGCCCAATAAGCAAAATGCCACGTCACCATTACATACGTTCTATTATTGAATTCATCGAATTTAACACCCTTCACCGGATTCTGAAGATTCATCATCATTCTTCCAGTCTTGCAACTCTTCACTAAACTGCTCCAACTTTGCATCCCTTAGTTTCCGGATTATACACTCGTCATATATTTTATACCGGGTGATTCATTAGAACTGATGTCAGTTTGAATTTCCCACAAAACAAAAAATTTTAAAGGTTGGTAATAATAGATTATCACTTGTATAATTCCAGTGGTGTATGTAGGAATCACTCTCAAAGAGTAATAATTTATTTTTAATATACAAATAAGTCGTTTATTCGTTATACGTTGTTATTAAATTGTTCGTAAATCAATCACAATAATGACGTCGATTCTCATAATCAAGAGGGTGCAGTTGCTGTAGAACAGAAACCCGGTACGGGTGTATGTATACGTAGATCTTTATGCAAAATTCGTTGGCATGTTGCATAACATACTCTTGTAATTCAAAAATAAAGTTAGTAGGTATAATATTCATTCTACGTGTACCACTTACCAGCTTGGGCGCTAAACTGACGGATTTTGATTTTCTGGGACTCGCTTCCATTCGTTGTCTTCGACCACTTCATCGTTTCTTAGTAATGGACGACCTGTAGGTATGTTTTAACATCAGGATACTCTTCCATAATTTGCTCTCGACAGGACTGGAACAAATATGATCACCTTCCATCGTCGTTACGTAGGTATAGCACTTCGAAAATGAGTTTTCGAAATAAAATGTGTAAAGGGGATTTGTAACCTACAAATGCACATTAGTCTGATTTAACCGTTATTTAATTACTTAGTTCAAGAAATTTTTGAATTTACAGCGTAGTTTTGTAAAGAACTGTTTGATAATACAGATTGGAAAAGTAAATTAAAAACAACAACAAATCAACGAAATAACGACGGCACTGGTGACTAATAAGAATTAGTAAAATAACTAAAAATATATCATCGCCAATTCTATCCCGTAAAAAACACTAGAATTGTACGCGCGAAATTCAAACTGTCATCAGTTCTAATGATTCGCCCGGTAGCTTAAGTAACTGTCACAATATATTACTTCTCCTAACTCATACTTTGCGGCAATAGCTTGACACTCCTCTGGGCTGTATTCACCGCCTCCATATATCGTGCTCTGCATCAAATGCTAATGCAGAAAAATGCTGCTTAAGGCGTCTCACGGCCGTCACGAAATCGACAGCTTTGGTCTATGATTCGTCAGCATATGCCATCTACGACATCTTTAATACATATACACCTTGTAACGAACATATAGAGGCTTATATAACCGTCAATCCCCACCACATCTTCAAAGTCATATTTAGAATGAAGTGTGATTTAGAATCGGCCGTACACTACTATCGACAAGAACCCTCGACTCAGGCGCAAACCGAGTTACTTTACCTCGGACGCAAACCTCCGATACTTTATCTCGAGCACAAACCTCGACCCCTTGACCATGACGTTAGCACAGGCGCAAACCTCGCTACTGCAGTTCAGAACCACTCAATCCTAGTGACTTTTCTAGGGGGATTTTCATCTAGTGTGATTTAGAATCGGCCGTACACTACCATCGACAAGACTCCTCGACTCAGGCGCAACCTCCGATACTTTATCTCGAGCACAAACCTCGACCCCTTGACCTTGACGTTAGCACAGGCGCAAACCTCGCCAGCAGAGTTACAAACCTAGTGACTTTCTAGTGAAATTTAGAATCGGCCATATATTACTACTGTTGCTTTATGAAGCGCGCGACACATATTTAACTGTTTTAATTAATGCACAGCTTAGCGCATTAAGTCAATCGACTGTCGTTTCGTTGATTGTCTTTTAACCCTGCAGCACTCGCGCCTTAAAAAATTACGCGAGCACTCACGCGTGAGCATTTCTCGCACACGTTCATTTCTTCAAGATTTTGTCCACTAAATGATTTATTTTTTCTTTTGGTAAATACAAAACCTATTAGTAATACTAATTTATTTTAGAAAGGTAACGAAGATAAAAAATAGTTTACACAAAATAAACAAAGTAAAAGCATACAAGTGAGTGATAAATTAATTAAACCTATATTTGAACAAACGTTTTATCTAAATGGGGTAAAATAAACCTTGATGTAATAAAAAACTAATTGTCTGATGCGTCACTTTCATCATTTCGTACATTAGCACAAGTTGGGCAAGTGAAAATACTATGTTCCACCTGTGAGAAGTTAGCAGCCAGTTTTCAGCAGCCAAATTGCCGAACACGCCCGAACGTCCAGTGGCGGAGGATAATTGAAACAGCTTACAAGTGGCTGCTGTCGCAGCCATAATATAATATACTGGAAGGATATAAAGCTATACATTTAGCGACCGATCGAGGGAGTGAAACTTGCCCGTAATGTACAAAAAAATTAGCTTAACCTCCACGCAAAAAAGGTTTCAAATTCTCATGCCCGTCACAACATTAAGATTCACATTCTTTACCATACAAAAAATTGGGATTCATTTAGCGATAGTCTGAGGGGGTTAAATCTGCCCCTAAAGTACAAAAAAATTCGTTTAACCCCCACGCAAAAAAGGTTTCAAATTCTCATACCCGTCAAAACGTTAAGATTCACATTCTTTGCCACACAAAAACTTGGCATTCATTTAGCGACAGTCTGAGGGGGATAAATCTGCCCCTAAAGTACAAAAAAATTCGTTTAACCCCCACGCAAAAAAGGTTTCAAATTCTCATACTCGTCAAAACGTTAAGATTCACATTCTTTGCCACACAAAAAATTGGCATTCATTTAGCGACCGTCTGAGCGGGTGAAATCTGCCCCTAAAGTAGAAAAAAATTCGTTTAACCCCCACGCAAAATAGGTTTCAAATTCTCATGCCCGTTTTTAACTTGTTTTCCTGAAAATATATTTCATGTAATACAATTAGCATAACAAAATTTAAACCATTAACCCCCACTTCAATCCCAAACGATTGTTCTTACGTTACGAATTACATTGATGATTGGTCGTTAATTCATTATTCTCATTTAGATAATGCCCAGGAAAATGATGCATGGAGTACAATCCCGTTGCGGTGTATTGCATTAACTCGGAACCACATGAGATATTTTTGCAATAGGAACAAACAGAGTCACAGTTCATAGATGCCTAAGGCTGGTCGTCCACTGGAAGCGAAAACAAGCGGCTTCGAGCTTACGCGATACGAGCGTCAACAAACGGCTATAAGATAAGCGATCTTGTGCGACAGGGGTCGTCCATTGCAAGCTGTTTCACTGACAGTAGTAGCGACGCGCGACGTTGAATAGTCATTGTTGCTTTTTGCGATTAAATGTTGAAATGGATGCAGAAGGCGGATATTTTTTAGAAACTCCTTACAGAAGGCGGAAAAGAGTTCAAAAAAGAAGATTGTATTGGGTAAACCCGAATTCAATCATCTCTATCGCGAATAAAAAAGGACCCTCCGAAGTTTTTTGATTACTACCGAATGAGTCCGCAGACCTATTTATAAATCTTGAATTCTATAAAAGCAATTATCAGGAAAGAGTCTAACTTCAGAGAAACTATACCACCTGAAGAACGCCTCAGTGTAGCACTACAGTAAGAAAAATTCATATAACAAAAGGGTGCTTTAGTAGATCATCTTGACGGTTTGAATCATCGGGCTGACTCTCCAGGATCATTCAGATTTTGCAAAGTCAACAAAGATTGTGGTTGTTGGGGCAGGCTGTTCCGGCGGAACGATAGTGGAGTAGTGTCTAATGTCTCTTGCATGAGTAGGGTGTTCAATCAGAATAAGGTCTAGTTCTCTGACCTGACATCCAAGACGAAAGAGATGACGGGTAGGCGTCGTTAGATGGGGATGGATAGGAAAGAGATGTATGCTGGATGGAACAATGACGTTATTCCTCGCTATACTCTCAGAAAACAACTGCACTTTTTCTCTTTCTATTTCCAAGAATTCTTCATCACAATAATCAGCCTTTCCGCTCGATTTTTTATTAGAAGTTATTCTCTTGCGTTTTCCGCTGGTGGCTGTAGACGATAGAGGCCCCATTTCGACCGGTACAACAGGTGCAGTGTTCGAATATGCTTTATCAGCTTCCTTGCTCTTCCCCTGATTTGTTTTTGAGGCATCACCATGATTCATTGCATTGTTCACCTTCTTATCAGAAGATTTCTTCGTTTCAATTCCTTTTTTGGCACTTTTCTTTTTCAGCAGATATTTTTTGCAGACAGATGCGTCAAGCGGCTACGAGCGTAAATCCCATTCTGCTCGGAATTGTAGCGCGCGCACGATTACGCTCATAGCCGCCCGCTCAAACTTGCTTTCAGTGGACGAGGTTACATTAAAATACAATATTTAGGATCTGCCGCGCGTAGTCGCGGGTTGACGCTCGTGTCGCGTAAGCTCGAAGCCGCTTGTTTTCGCTTTCAGTGGACGACCAGCCTAAGCTATCGCAAAAAAAAAAGATGATTGTCAAGCAGCAAAAATGAAAGATGTGCAAATATTATAATGTATTTATTGTAGGTACAATGTAGCCATGAAATGAGACTCTAGATGTAATAGGATACGGACCATATATTATAAGTGCTGTTTTAACATGATTAGGAATCTTAAAATTTTAAAATCAGCGTATTACATTGTATCAATAAAGAAGTTCTGTTATGATGACTATAATATAGGTCGGTAGCTACAAGTCGGTCTTCATTTCGTTTTCTTTCTGGTCAGGGATCACAATCGGATTTGTTGAATTACGTGTGAAGTGCCTTTTCTATACAGTTTCGGTTCTATTTATGCCTTGATTTGAATTTTTGAAATATTAATCAGTATTAAAAAGTGAACCTACTGTGTACTTCTTTGTGTCGGTGAAGTGGATAATCGAGTGGATATAATACTGACATGATCGTAATATAGAACTATTTAGTTATATTGAATTAGGTAAGGTTTGAAAGTTTATATTTTATTGATAGGTATAGGTATTTAAGTTTAGGATTACTAATAGGTTAGTCGTGTTAGAATTTAATTAAAGTATTATTTTCAACTATTTTGTAGGTGTATGTTATTACTAAGTATATTCGTTTAATCATTATTACATCATGCACTACATTTCCAAACAGAAAATGTTTGAT